TTTCTGTCTTAACATTTTTTATTGACAAATAAGCTTTAATATGCTGCTAGAACTTTATGATATATAAAAATAGTCTTCATAATCTGAGTTTGCAATATTCCAGTAACAAAGAACTGCTGCTATCTTATTTGTTTGGTATTAAATTTCAGATGTTAAGCATTATTACTCGACATGTCAAAAATATATATTAAGTCAGTTAGATTGACTCCTAGCTGTCCTAAACACCCACAGCTGATGCATAATTAGAAATACTAAAGCTCAAGCAGAGTGATGAAGGCATTGTTTATAATTGAAATAAATAAAACGGATCAAATATGGTTTAAATCTAATCAAGCAAAACAAGGGAAGCTAGAAATGTATTTATCATACTGAAGAATTAATTAGGATGTATAGTAATTGTTTTCAATTCTATTGCCCTTAAAAATATTTATAAATATTTTTTAAAATCCCACTTTTTCTCACATTTGAATCTCTAAGATTGCAATTGAGTTTGTGGCTCGTTGTTGATGATTTCACGTGTTTGCAAGTAACTTAAGAAAATCTGATGAACATGTGTCGTACTTGCAAGATTCTTTTTCTTAACATGCATTAAGTGGACATTGCTGATTCGACTCACAATAACCAAACATACACCAATGCTCCACTACAGGGAATCATTCGAGGCCACAGAATATATTTATAGGCACACCTGCCTTTGGAATATCAACACACAATACAAGCTCAGGTTGCTGTGCCCTTTATTTTCATCATTCGTCAGCATGAGTGTTGGACTAAGAATAACTGAGACAAGACAGCTGAGACACGCCTTTATAATTTATATCTTTTTTTGTATGACTTCTCAGATTCTGGCTTCACTTGGAATAATTTAACCCAGATTTGTTTTCTTTTATGCTATAGCTAGAGAAAATCAGTATTGACGAGTATTATATCTATATCCATAGTTTAAGTGAGGACTCGTGATACTATAACTTCCAAATAATTTATGCAAATGTTGTAGGAAAAGTCAGTGGATTACCACAAAAGTGATCAAAATGCAGATACTATGATTGATGAATCCTCTATTCAGCTATAAATCCAGATTATACCAAAATGTCCCTAATAAACAGACTAACAAAGACTGTGGCAGTCACAGGAGGGAGAGCAATTAGAAAATACATGTGGTTATCTCCAGGCAGACACCATTTATGTGTACTATTTTTGGTTGGCTATTTTCATTTTATCTTCCTCCCTGGTTCCATGAGAGAGGTCAAAAGCCAAGTAAATATATATATATATATATATATATATATATATATATATATATATATATATATATATATATATATATATATATATATATATATATATGTGTGTGTGTGTATAAGATGCACTGACTATGCTGTGATAAGCCATGTGTTAGTCTCCTGACTTCTGGTCAAAAGATAATACTCAACTAAATTATAATTCCTACAGACTGTTAGTGAAGATTATCCAATTTTTGGTCCTTAATAAAACCATGAGCTGTACATCTGTGAACCTCACTCCACTCTGGTAATTATCTAAGATTTTAAGAATATACATTTCTCAATACTTTTCAAAACTGTTTAATTTTCTTTTCTAAGAGACTAAATTTTAGGTTTTCATTAAACCATAATCAAGACGACAAGAAACAAAATCCTGGAATAAGTCAGTCTGTATGCAGTAATTCTAGATATTAGTTTCAGTTTCTGAAATAACTAGCAAGAAATATTTCTCTTTTTTGCAATATAAAAAAATTGGTTAACTATACTAGTATGTATTTGAAGTTGAGCACAAATTCAGAGGTTTACAGGACTTTACATTCACATTCATCAGTTGTTTTGTATCAAATAAATGTAATTTTATTAAATAGTTTTGAAAAGCATTAAAAAGTGTATTTCTTAAAATTATAGATAATTACCATAGTGGATTGAGGTCCACACTATAGCTGATGATTTTATTAGGCACCATCATTTTGGACAATCTTCACGAAAAGTCTGGAAAAATCTTTCAATAAATAAAATAAAATGGGGATTTTTATTTTTATTTTTCGGCAATAAAAATGAGATGTTTCCTGGTCATAAAGTACTTAGGAGAGTGCTCGCTGATATGAGACATTTTCTGGTTATAAAATACTTATGTGTGCTCCCTGGCATTTAAATGTTTTTCCCCTTTTATTTATGTCCCCTTTGAGAACATGGCACAGACACCATGCAACTCATAGTTTAATAGACAACTCAACATAGGAACAGATACAACTCCACTCTGTTGTGTCCAGATTGGATAGATTGTTTTCCTTCAGAAGAACTGACCTAGTTCAAACAAAATGTATATATTTTTTCATCTTTTCACTGGCTATAAAGTGCAGAGTACCTTTAATGGACACAGAAGTTTTAGGGCAGATGAGTCATTTCTTTGGCCAGCTTTGATAGCTGTTTCCATGGCTTTTTTCTAATAAAGGCCCATTAAGACATCATTAAAATGCAAGAGAGGAATGGATGAGGAGCAAAGTGATTCCATCCAATTACATGTAGACTTCAATTTATGAAATAATTTGGTTTGGGAGAAAGGTCAGCCTCGTCTTCTGAACAGGACAGCCGGCTGAGGGTTGTGATTCATTCGTGTCACTGTGCAAAATCCTCTAAACCTGACATCACTGGGAAAATCAAAAGAAGATCTGATCTTTAATTTAATAAGTGGTATCTCATCAATGTTGAGATAGAAACTGATATATTGAGGCCTAGTATAACTGACTCTAACATCTTAATTCTTTTGATTATGCAAGAACATCTACAAACCTTGACTTGTCATGGGGTTTATTAGATTGTAATTGACCAGGGTTAAAAAAAAAAGGTATTTTAAGAGATGCTCTTTGCGTTTTGGTTATGAGAAAAACATATTTAGCTTTTCATTCACTCTTGTTGGCAATCATCTGTATTGCCATCAGCTTGTGCCATCCTCTCCAGGGAGTACTAAAACTTTTATGGTAAAAATTCTCCTCATTGAAGAGATTTAAAATCCTACTAAATGGCACCAGTCCAGATCTGACCTTAGTCTACTGCTATATGCTGAGGATAATGTTGAAAACTTCTTGTAAAAAATGAGCCGTATAGTAAATATTAGCAAACCTTGAAGGTGAGAGTGCACCAAATTCTGTATTGTGCTTCAGCTTCTTTTCAGTGATGAGGAAGGATCTCCTCCACATTGTTTGGTTCACCATGATAAAGTCTGATGATCACACTTTGAGAATTTTATGCTTTATCAGACCTCTTGTGTTGAGGGGCAATCTGAAACTCGGGTCAGATTTTTTATTTATTGATAAGCTGATACTGGTGCATCCATTTTGGAGTTAGTGTGGTTTGGCTCATTTTCAATAAATGTTAATTCACATAATTATTAATTATTGTTTTGATTAACAAACTCTGAAAACTTTTTACCTTTTTCCATCTTTAATTTCCTCACAGTCACAATAATGACACAAATACTATTGCTCTCATAGAAGAAGGTCTGGCTTGACCCCTCCTGTTTAAACGTTTTGCTTCTAATGGGTTTGGCTGACATCACGTTGTGGCAAAATTGGGATTGCAATATATGTTAATTAAAATGTGTGTGTGTGTGTGTGTGACACCTTATCTATGGTCATGTTCATTTTGTTGCAAAGTATAATGATGAAGCTTTTTATTTTTAGAGATAAACCAAATAATTTTAATTTCTTCATCTTCCTAAAGCTGCTACTTCTCAAAATAATTTCCTTTCTCGAAATGTCGAACCTGGTTTCTCTAATCCATGTCCTGCTTGTCAAAGAAATGGTTGAAGTGGCCAGACTCAGAGACCATCAACAAATTCATTGATCTGGGCCAGGCACAAACCCACAGCAGTGATTGAAATTCTGTTTGGGTGGGAAAAAGTGGGTTCATTCAAACAACCATCCCCCTTCCAAAGTTTCATCATGGCTCTGGCACTCAAGAGAGTTTGCTCTGAAATGTGCTCCTCGATATCACCCTGACTTGGAGATGTGAAAGAAAAGATTGATGGGTTTTCCACCAAACAGAAAGAATAGAACATGTCAGAGCTGGTAGGCAATTTAAAGAATGATTATTTCTTCCCCTTTTCCAAAGATAAGCAAGATATAAAAACAGATTCAAAGGGGATGGTGGAAAAATCTTGACAGCAGCAACTGGCTGGTTTCTTCTCTTGTAAGACACCTGAGACAAAAAAAAATTGTCTTGCCATTAAAGTTTCTCTTTTTTATTACGGCATTTTGTCTGAAAGATTGATATCGACTTGAACTCTTATTTCATTCGGCTTTTCCTGTTTATTACTTTGGGGGTTTTTTTCTTGAAAAAGTATTGTCTCATTTATAGATTTAATATTTTGTCACTGGCTCCTTGCATATTAATTAATTTGCTGATTCTCACAGGAGACATTTTAAATGTTAAATTCTTATTTTTTGTGAATTTCTTTCCAGAAAATTTAAAATCAGCTTTCAGTTCTTGAGCTTGACTTGCTTTGAATCATTCCTCTATAATCATCTTTTTGTATCAGACCTGGCTTCACTTTAACCTAGAAATAACTAGTTGGAATATAGTAATTCACATCAACCTTGGGTTTGGTTTACAGGTCCCAGAATAATTAGGATTGTGTTTTATTTTTCGTTTTTTCCCAAAACTTTGAGGGGGTAGGGAAGTATCAAGAGAGACTGAATATCAGTTAATCTGGTGTTTTCTGAAATGATTATGAAATTGTTTTGCAACTGATCAAGAGCAAATACTAAATTGAAAAATAGATGTGATGAATATCTGATCACAAAGAGAAACTATTTAATTGGTCATAGATTGCAATTAAGAAAGTTCTGTGACGCTTTAAACTCGTAATTCTGAAGTTCTGTCTTCTTTTTAGCAAAGCTAACAATAGCTTCAAATTAACCGAAACAGTTGGAAAATATCCCATCAGTATAACTACTTTATTAAAGTCCCTAATCTAATAAAATAAGAAAATTATCGTGGTTTGGCATTTCATGTTTATTGTAGTCATTCTTTGAGGAAAGTGACTAAAGTGTTTTGTTCGGCATTTCATTTTAATACAAATTCTGTAATATAGAACAATATAAACACAGAACTAGAACTGTTTCATGAGCTTAAGCACACTTTGACTGAAAACACTCACTTCTTGCAAAAAGGTTGTCATGCTGAACTTTTTTTGCGTTTTGTCATTTTTCTCCCCTTTTATCAAATGACAAATGTCTCTTTGCACAGAGTGATCACTTATCAAACTTAATGCTCTAGATATTTTGACCTCTGCGACTTAGAAATCCAAAACAGTATTCACAATTTAATTTTTTCCCACAGTTGACAATCCCATTACTTAAAGGAAGTTTTCACTAGTTTAAAAATATACACATATATGTATGTACACTCGTAATTTTTACTTTACAACACAGACATTCAAGAGAAATCAACGTGACATTTTGTACAGCATAGATATACATTTTCAATGTTTTGTACATAGTTACTCCTATCAATTTGAACACGCCTCACATTATCACTTTACAGCTGCACATAAAAGATTGCACTCAAGCTTTTAAAAGCCTACCTCTTCTCAGTGTGGCTTTTACTGCACCTTACTACCTCCTAATATTACTTTATTGTGGCACAGGTTATTTTTTCCTTCACTAAAAGAACAGCAAACAGTCTGTACAAATTTAAAACAAGTTTGAAAAACATTTTATTTGTTTATTTCAAGACACAATGTAAGGTATGAGTTTCTATGCATCATAAATAATACTGAAATATGATGGGAAGAAAATGTGCTAGTTTGTGGTTTCATCTTCCATCTATTTCAAAAGCCCAAAAAGTTATTTTTCCATGTCTCTAACTGACAAATGTTACATTGTGGCTCGGTAAACAATAGCACAGGGAGGTTTGTTTTCAGAAAACTTTCAGACTGATGGTCGCATTGTGGTAAAATAACAGTGAAAACTATATTGCATAAATAACTAGAACAGTATATAGTAATGATGCCCTAGAAAATTAGTGAAAATTTTGTCCATCTCCATCTGTATTGAAACATAGATAATTAAAAAATTAATGCATTTATTTTGAGTTGTAAGGAGGGGGAATACTTGTAGTACATGTGTAGGGAGACTGTTTAATGTTTGAAATGTTAACTCAGTCAACTGTAAGTACATCTTCCTTCAATGCTCTGTCTGAAATTTCTCCAACTGAGCTCAATTTCTCAGGATGCATTTCATCCTAGCCAATCCGCAAACAAAAGTAGTTTTGAACAACAATATTGAACTTCTGGGTTGTTTTAGAACTGTAGTCTGCCTATGGTTGCTTTTCTCTTTGCAGAGGGAGATGGTTGTTCACAGTGCATACAATTTACAATAAGCTTCTTCATGATTGAGCTGGCACATTGCATACATCATGGTCAAATGTTATTGTCTTGGTAAAATGAGATCTAATCATTTAAAATTTTAGCAGAATGCACAACTGCCTCCAAAAATAAGTCATCTTTCAATAACTGAGGGTCCCGACCATCTGTACAAAGCAAAATAAAGGGCATGGGGCTGTTTTTTTTACCAGGCTAGCTTAAAATGCTACCTCTGCAATTATGTCTTCTCAGTTTCAAAATATTGAATTTGTATTTACCGTCAACCCTATGTAACAATGACTGCTCTCTCGTACAAAAGGTGACATCTCCACTCCTCATTATATGAATAATGATCCACAAGGACAAAAAGGCTTATACATGTTTGGAAAAAATGAATTATTCATCTCGTCACTAATTTCTTGTGAAACAGTGCACAACTGCATTTTGAGTCTTGTAAAAATATTAGTCAGTGAGATGAGTAAATGACAAAGCAGATATGTATTTAGTATTCTGGATAACTTTACTCTATTTGTAGATATGTGACACAAATTGAGAAAAGTCTATTACCTTTCAATTAGTAAAAACTCATATTTTGAATCTTGGGTCTTAGGTTAATTATTAAAAGAAATCAGATTTTGCAAAACGGAAATAGAACAAACCCTAAAGAAACCTGAGATAGAAAATTAGTCACAATGTACTAGATCTATAGATCTCTATGTAGTTGTGGCACTGGCACACAAATGCATTCATAGTACATGCATATGTGTTGGCATTATGTGCTTGTGTCATTTGTGGCATGTAAGTTATAAATAGTAATATGTAAAATAATGAGAAACACTATAAACCATTCTTTGTCACAGTAAGGAATGACAATTTACATACAGAACTGCTTTTACATAACAATCAGTACTTTCATACAAATCTGCTGGTTTTTCCCAAGTCCTACATTTTCCTTCTGGGCCCCATTTTCCAGGTCAACTTCTTCTTCCATTACTCTTTGCTTTAAAAAGCTGGGGGAAAACATTCCTTGATGGATATTGCTTGGGAAGTGGATTTATAGAGTAAAAAAGCTGGACAAATGTTGAATTTGTATATTGTTGTGGTGTACGAAAGTTTGTCATTTCCTTTTCACACCTGACCTTCATGTCTCCGAATATCATCTTTCTGTTTTTTCTTGACTAATAAAGGTCCAAGTGTCTGTGAATGTTGATGGGTTCATGTGGCCTTTCAGGCATCCAGTTTTGTTTGTACCCTGATTGAAATATGGCATCACCATGAAGCGTGGTCTGACATTCTTGCTGAAAATCAGGAACCGTTGTTTCAGAGGAGTAACTGGTGTTGCAGTATAAGCTGGTTGGTGTGTTAACCAAGCTATCATAACAGCCAGAATCTCTCCCATCTAAACTGTCCACTCTTTCAAAAGAGTTAAATGGTCCATCCTGGCAGGTTACATCTGATAAGAGAAGCTTCCTCTCTGTGTTCATCTGTAATTCACCAGGGTTACCCATTAGTGGAAATGAAAGTTGAAGTTGACCATTGATGTCTATTACAGTTTGTAGCACCAGTGGCTGCTGCTCGGGATTACTCCAACTTGCAATTCCTCCTCCTATCTGGGGTTCTTCTTCACTGCTTTCTGTGAAAGGCAGCAAAGAAGAACATCTGTGCATGGTATCAGGCGGCTGAAAATTCCTTTCATTTTCTTCATCCTGGGGCTGGACTACAACTGCAGCGTAGCTTCCAGAAGACTGAGCACTTATGTCAGGCTTTTGCTGGCGATACGCAGAGTTCTTAACACTAGTTGGAGGTGTCTTTTCTTTGTTGTGAACTATTTGGTTTCCGTCATTGATAGAAACTTCAGAAATCCTGAGATTCTTATCTGGATGTTCCATAATTTTCAGTTTCTGGAAGGGCATTACCTGCTTTGAAGACCATTAGAAGAGCTTTGTTAGTTTCTATAAATATTTATACAATGAGCAATGCTAACATGTTTGACAATAGAAAGCACCTTAGCAAATCAGGTTTTCTTTTACATCAGTACAATAATAAAACTGGTATGCGAATGTCTCAAGTAATGGCATTCTGTGGCTTGATATTTCTGTAAGGCAAGATTTCCTTATTGCTTCAAGGAAAGACTATGACGACAGAGCGGACTTACCAGTGACTTTATGGTCATAATCTTTGAGTCTCCACCTTTCACATAGTTGCACACACACACAGCTGATACTATGACTATGCCTGCCAGGACAGCAGCACCCAGGAGAGGCCACAGAAAAGGTATATGAGGATCATCTAAAGGAGGAGAGAGTTTGTCTTACTGTCATGTCATGGGAAAATACAAATGCAGCTCTAAACTAAGACAGCCTTAGGTGCTTAATGACTTTTTTGGAAAAAAATTCCATTATGACTTATATGGTTAGGCATATTTAGAGGGAAACGTACTCCTGTACGGCTGCAAGATATATCAAAATGTTCTGGGAACTGTTTTTACTTCTGAGAATTACTTTGTTGTGAGGATCTTGCATGAATTTGGATGTTCTGAGAAACTTAGAGGATTCCCTTCTGAATAAGCAAGAACTGAGTTTGTATGAATTTTAAAAATATTAGAAGAAAAAGAAGTCATCTTTGAAAAAGTGAAAAAAAAAAATTCAGTTTAACTCTAATGATATAGAAAGTTAGTTTCCTAGTACTTATGTTAATAATTTTTTATAGAAGAAATCATTATTTTCATTAAATGGTCAACAATATTAAGGCCACAACTCAATCTGAAACTGCAGTGTAACACGTTTTAATTGGTTAGACTTTTTTCTGTGCTGTAATGGTGTTCATAGTGCAGATTGTTTTGCAAAGGATGGTTTTATAGCAATTCATAGACATTTATTACTAAACACAGTATTATTTCCAAGTGGCTGCAATCACTCAAGATTAGCTCAAACTGATTAAAGCAGCATTTGGGAAAAATGCACCATCTTCAAGTGTCTTAATTGGTGCATCTTCGCTCCAGCAGCTGTGACTCCAGAGCTGCTAAGAGTGACACTGTTGCTTTTTTTTGCAAATGTTCTAATGGTTTCTGCTACGTCCAATCAAAGTCTTAAAATACAAAAAGGATTTAAAGCAAAATCTAATTTACTTGAATAATTAAAAATATATGTTTCACGATTGTTAAAATCAATCAACTCTAGTGTGAAACTTGTGATAATCATTTTGCTCACCTGGCAGAGTTACACAGAAGGATGCATTCTCACTGACTGAGCGACCCCATTCTGGAGTAGCTGTGTAAACCAAATGGCCGCAGTATTTGGACTGGTTATACTTTAAGTTGATGTCAAAGTGGTTATTTTTGCTTTTGACGACCTGGAGACATGGCAAGATTGGAGAATACATTGACATTTAGTTCAGTGCAGATAGAATAGGTCAAATTGACTTCACATTCTTAGTGTTTTCCTAAAAAAAATATAGTAGCAAATGCAGCAAAGTACAATAATGTCTGAAAATGTGCTTATGCAGATGTGTAATTACCCTGGAAAGAGAGTAAATTCGAAAAGAAAAAAAAAATATAAGCCTCTTTCTAGATGAACAGGAAAATGTTTGGAAATTTTGAGCTACCCACTGTTTGGTACTAGACAATGCCATAGCACAATAACTGATACCACTGCAAATGGCATACTTCCTGCTATGAAAAAAAACTGAAAGTTCATTATTTGTATTTCTATCCATCCATTTGTAGATCATTATGTTACAAAGTATGCAACAGATCAACTTCAGAAAACCAGTTTTATACAGTCTAACTGGTTTTCGAAATGATAGTTAAAAGTCAACTCTACAGTTTTAGAGCTGAAGATGGATGTTGCTCAAAGGTCAGACTTAACTTTGAGCACATTTAGCTTTGAGCAAGACTGCTTTTCAAACCAATGCTTCTTATGTTGAAATGATCTCCAGAACATGCTTAATTATGGTCAATTTAATTTAGTTTAATTTGCAATTCTTATTAACTTAAGATTTAAAAAAGATTTAGCTTTTTAAATCCCTTTTTAAATTTTAAGTTCCTTTTTTAAATTATTTTTTGTTTTATAGTTCCCCCCATCTTTTTCTCTAGTAGCTTGCGTATGAAATGTTTCATTTTAACTCTAATTCCCAGAAGAGTAGCGATTTTTATGCCAATGAGACATTCCTGTTTAAAATCAAAAATATATTTATGCCTGCTTTGTACCATTGTATTTTATCCAGTTTCAATAATATATTTAATGCAAAATATTTTATAATTCAAGATAAACATGTGTTCATGATGTTTAATGTCAACAAACCTGTGCAGCCCACTGTGGATAGGTTATTTTTAAGGTGTACTCAACCACAGCTTTTTTGGTGGTGTTGATGATATCTGTAATGGAAACTTCATTTGGCCCATTTGGCACAGTGATGTTGACATGCAGGGTGGACGCTGTTGTGCGAATAGACAAAAGTGGTGGACCAAGGACAGCTGCAGACAGAAAATTAAAGCATTAAGTGAATGTCATAGGAGAATATATCTGTGACAAAGTACATCAGAAAATAACGTGTGTGCAGAGTCTTACTGTCTCTCAAGGGCTTAAAGGAGGTAGTGATGTCATGACAGCTCCCATTAACCATTACTTTAGCTCTGTAGTAAACATCATACACTGATGGGGTTTCTGCAGTTAGGTCACATGACAGCCTGGTGATGTTTTGACACTCATCTTTTATCAAGTAGTGCTGATCATCACCCCTGCAATCAGTTCAATAGACAGGATAGTCAGTCTTTTGGAAATTCACTCTGGTATTAATTGTGTAGCTACTAAACCAATTAAATCTTATAGAAAAAAAAAATAAATTAAGTTCCTACATTCTCATTCAGAGCTTGTATGTCACTGCATAATATAAGGAATATATTCTTTCCTCTTTCCTTCAGTTTAGTCATTAAATTATTTTTCAGGCATAAGCAATACGGCAATACGAGTTCATTTAAACGACCAAATAAAGGCTATTGGTCATAAGCAGAGTATGAATGTATGATGCTTAATTTATAAGAGCCTACCAAAAATTACAGTAAAGCATCTTTTGATTTGCAGATTTATAAATATTATTGCAGTGATTGTAATTCAATTTAAGGAGTATTTTCAAAGCAAATGCATATTTGCTTTAAAAATACAATGAAGATTTCAGCATTGTAGGTGCTCAGTAGGGCCCATTTGTCTGAAGGTATAAAATCATGCATCCTGACTATAACACGAGTGCCTTTCTGAGGTTGTAATTAACCGTTATCATAAGTAATTAGTCAAAATAGCAGTTTTAGTTTGAACCTAATAGTAAAGAAAGAATTGTATCTTAAAATTATTACTGAGCTCTGCTTCAAAAGCAAGTGTTTGACATGTAAATAGAAAAAGCCTCCTGTATTCAGCTATGTGTAGCTTTTTAAAATATGATTCTATTCTTAATTTTTAAACAGTTTCACACTCAACATAGCTGCATGACAGTTTCAGCAAATATTCATTCTCAAATACATATCTTTTAATCCATACACGAGATAAGTAATAGGGAAAAGTCTACACTAGAAAGGATAAGGATAATCTACTGTTTTGTGCTGTATTTGCTCAGGAAGAATCCCAGACCAGTGAAGCCAGTTACTCAATATCGATAGTTAGCTATACCATGGATGGCACTTCATTAAATTTCAAAATGTGCAGCTGTGTAGTTGACAATGATTTAATAGTCTATATTTATTCAAAGTGTTGACCCTTATTTGTTTCAAAGTGGAGTACTTTGATTAGTTAATAGGGGTAATCTTAGTTTTGAGTTACAGATTAGTTCATTGGAATTAGCAGTTAACTACTAATTTATGCAAAAAAACAAACACAAAAATTTCCTTGAAATTTGAACAACCCATTTTCTCAGATTTTCTGAACTTATGATCAACTAAATCCATCAGGTTTCATTGAGGGTGACTACCATAAGAGTGGAGTTGTAATTATGTGAGAGTATGGAAAAATTCTAATACTGGAGCACAGCGGTAAAGTGGGGTAAAATATGGTGGACTCCTGGCCAAAACAGGAGACTGGACAGCTTTCAGTGTTTAGCTGAAGTAAAACTGAGATTTAAACATTTAGACGTGACTGTGTTGTCTAAACAGTTTTAGAAGTCTGTGCTAGACTTGTTTTTGTGTATCGTCATCTGGAGATTAGGTGAAAATGGCATCTTGAGAGACTTTAGATTAATTAACATTCAATAATCTGATCTTACCTCCAGTACTGCACGCTATAGAGAACCTTTTGGCCTGGAAAAGCTGGCTTCACAGGATCCCAGTGAAGAACATTGTAAAAGTTTTTGGAGATGAAATACACACGGCCACGAACAATTGAGGGACTTACTGGTGGAGAAAGGGAGAAAATGTATTTCAGCTTATTTACTTGGTTTGTTTATTGTTTGAGTATTTTCAACAAATTTAAGAGATATTGTTCAAATCATTTTTGAAAAGGTATCAGAAAACACATTTTAGGCATTTTAAAATGCTGTTAGTCTTTATTATATGCAGTAAATAAAATGGTTACTTTTAAACACATTTTTATCCTGAACAATAGGTGTGCGTGACTCAGAGCCCAGTGTGATATTACACCCTGGGTGCAGGGCGTCACAGAAAGTATTGTTGGAGTTGGACTTTGTCCCTGCTAATAGCTGAAACTCAAAACTGCTGTTGTCTAATCCTGCCTGCAACCTACTTTTTATACAATACATTTCTAATATTTCAAGACAGGCTTTAGAAAAAAGCATGTGGGACATCATACTTTTTGTTGCTCTGAGTTATCTACATAGAAAGTGACTTTAATGATGTCTTGTTTTTAGTTAATTTACTAACCTGGAGATGGTAGACACAACACCTATGAAAGTCAAAAAACTTAAAACATAACAATATGTTTGTTAAAACATTATACTTAAAAAAGTGTACTTAAAACTGATACAGATTTGAATTAACACTAAAATAAATCAGCATTTCCTGTGATTGAGTTCTCAGACTTTGGTAGTTTTTTTATGTGTTGATAGTTGTAATTATTATTTGCTTTTAATAGTATTACCTAAATGAATAGTTATTTGAGTGAAACATCAACAACTAAACATCTTCAAATTGAAAAAGACAAATCTGCACTACGTAGTTGGTTTTACTCACGAGAGCAGAAAAGAAGAAGGACCACTACGTTCCTATGCCACATTTTCTTCAAGAGTGCATATAAACAGGAGAAAAAAATGTATTCTTGCTGCTGTGGATGGAATTCCAAATCATATGTATATTCAAATACATTAAAGTCTTCAAAAAAATTCTCCCAAACAAAATTACAATCCTTGGCAGTCCTTTTTAGGCCAACCTCTTTCTTCAGCTAATCAACCATCTCTGAACCACTCTAGACAAGGAGTGGCTCTGCTCAGGTGTACAGGTGTACTTTGTTACATGTTATCACTTAGTTCCTGTTTTTCTGCTTATTATGAGCACCACCCATGTGGCTCTTCTCCTCAGAATGCTAACTTCCTTTTCATTCTGTACTTCCAATTTACCGTGAGTCTCCTCCTCCTGCCGTGGAAGTATATCAGGTTCTTTCAGTTTTTTTTCTGTTTACTGGAAATGATCACGCCTTGAAGCTAAAATTGGGAAAGACTCCACATAGTACATTCACACCAAGTAGCAAGTGGCAAGAATAGAATTTGTTCTAAGAATAGCATTCTTAAGAAGTAAATTTCTCTACATTGCAAAGACATCTTTGGCTTTATTTTTTTCTGAATTGATCAACATGTCATTCCTCCAGATTCTGGATTGTTTACTGCAGGTTGAATGCAGATTATTTATATAAATCCATAGTAACTGAATATTTTACCACCTATTTGAATTCTGTTTACCAATTTAAAGCAAAAGTAAATCCAACTTTAGAGGAACAATGAGACTCAGTATTTTATTGGTGTTATTTAGTAAAATCTGAGTCAAACTGTAAAAGGCCCTTATTTTGTGAGATCTAAAAGGTTAAGGAAGAAAGCAGGACTTGATATTTCACTGTATGTTTGTGATCAACTTTAGAGAAGTTGATCACAAACAACTTCTATATAATGAAACAAAGTTCATTATATAGCAAAGCAGTTCAAAGTGCTTTACGCTGTACAGAATAATATAACCAATTATGAAACAGGCAATAAACATACAAGCAGAGGTTTTGACAGCATGGGATTGACATTTTTCAGATTCACATCCGTCAGATTTTTACCAACTGAATCACGCTGGCAACTAATCTTTCCAGACTCTCCTCGACTCCCTTTTTCATAGGAGGAAATGCATGGTATTAAATCTTTAATGTTTTAAAGACAGTCTGGACTTATGCTATTTATACTGAAGTGCATAGAAAGCATTACTTCAAAATTGGGTGTAAAAATGGATCCCTTAAACTTGAAAGTAAGGTAAACATGCCCTGTGTTTTCAACTGAAGCAGTTGAGATGAAGCCTGATTTGTATAAAAGAAATCTTGAAAGAGAAGCCCATGCTTTTATAACCTCATGTCTTGTTTAGTTTAATGGCCCCCTTGTTTTTTTTAGAATTAGCCTTGTTCTTTTGCTCACATCTTGTACAAGATGAAAGCCATACGTGAACAAGAGCAGAGTTCTTGAATTTGTGCTACCCTTCACTGATTCACTTTTTATGTCTGTACCATTGTATGTCTTAATATTTTTAAAGTATTTTAAGATGTTTTCTCTCAGAACTCCTGCACCCATATATGCTCTCAGATGAAGATTTTATCTTGCCGCTGCAGAATGCACTGGAATGCTTAGTCAATAAACATTAACCTAAAACCTTATATTAACATTTTTAAATCAAATTTAAAAACTCTCTTCCATGCCTCTCCCATAGCTTTTTACCCAGTGTGAGTTATTGACATTGGACTCATTTTTACCTACTTCTGGTACCATTTACATTGTATTCTACTTTTTGTTAATGTATTCTTGGATGTTTTATCACCTTTTATTCTTAGGCTTTTCTGTATCTCCTATGTTTAATTTACCATATTGTGGTCAATCCAGCTGTTTTTTGGAATGCTTCATAATGTTGTTTGTAAAAGAGTTGATGAAAGAATGTTTTGAAATTTTCTCCAGGAATGAGAAGTCAGGAATATTGTTTTCCTTTGCAGACCTGTCAGAAGCTTTTCGAGCAACTTTATTTATTGTTTTGCTGTTTTGATCTATAATCATATTGTGGTACAATATTATTTTTCATGGTTTTATCTTTCTTTTCCTCTTAGAATTGTATGAAACTTACAGTATGTGTTTAAAGGAATACTTAGAGATAGATTCAGATTTCTTTTGTAATTTCATCAAGAATAGCATGAATTAGATTGTCACAATTTCAGCTAAAAATTCTTTACACTAGCATAATATGTTTTAATGTTTTGGATTAAATTTTTTTGTAATTTTACTTAAGGTAAGAGGTAAAATCATACTGGAATGATTTTTCTTATTACTGTGTGGCAAGACGGGAAGAACCGTCTTGCAATAATTTATGCTATTAGCATTACTTGATCTTTATGTACACAATATGCCATTCATTAGATGTTCTCTGTGGATTATGGTCACTGCTGCGTTATTATGGACAACATGCCTGGGATTTGCTCTGATAGTTGATTTTAATTATGCCTGTGTTTGACTACTCTTGTGTAACCACTGTTATTTGCAATATACCAGCTGTCATAGAAACAATGCTACCTGCATTGCCTGCATTGTAAACCACTTAGGCTATTCTAAGTGACAAAAAACCAAAATCTCTCACAAATTGGGGAGAAACACTTTACAACCATCTCGTTAAAGGGACAAAAAGGTGTAAGCTGTCATAAAGCAACCATGGACAAAAGCATCTAAGGTAGTAGTACAGAGAGAGACATTTCTGTTGTTTTGTTAAAGCTTGGCATCAAAGCCACATCTTCTGTCCTCTCCTTCTCTCTGCTCCATTTACACTTCAAAGCCACTTAAAAATGCAAGAAAACTGACAATCTATGACATCTTCGGTTTTCTGCACAGTTGGGCACCCTTCTGACCACAATAACTTTTTTCTTTTTTGCAAAAGTGATTCACAGTAAAGACAGCCCTGAGAGAGGAGTGCGCTGTGATACTTTGGTCACACACACAGGAGATATTTCTGTGGACTCTTGTGCTTCGGTGAATCGTTGTCAGCAATTAACTTTCCTTTGCTCTGTCACTGCAAATCAAATCTATCTTGCAGCTCCAACTTCTCCAACCTTTTTGAAATGAAAAGAAAATAGAAAATATTTGATCTAACTCAATGAACATAGGATGAACAAGACATATTCTTGCGCTCCATCAAAAGGAAAGGAAGCTGTATTTTCTGTCTGAAATATGATCCATCTCAGTTAGCATGAAGGCATTGCTGAAGATTGCAAGGCATTGCCAGACTTGAAATCAAATGTTTACATATATCGTTCAAAAATACAAACATTTTTCTTACTGTCTGACATTTAAATAAAATTAAATGTTTGTGTTTGGTCAATTCTTATCAAAATTATGATGATTTGTTAAATTTCAAAAAAATAATACGAAAAAGTTTCTTTAGGTTCAGAAGTTTACATACCTGTCCTTTTTAAGCAGTATGACTTGAGACTTGTAGTAATTTCAACAGACTAGATCATTATTTCTTAATCCTGATCCTTAGGGCCAGCTGCCTTTTGTATTTTAAAAGCATCTCTGCTCCAGTACACCTAATTAAAATGATTGCATTACCTCCTCTGCATGTCTTCAAGTGCTGCAGAGGTCTTTTAATCACCCACTCATTTAAGTCACTTGTGTGGCTGCAAATAAACGCCTAAGACAAGCAGAACAGTAAGTCCTGTTCTGCTTGGAATGGGACTCACTGTTCCATGCAGGAATGAGAACATTGACAGTACAAACATAAAGCTGATGGATGTACACTGAGGTTCCTTAAAACCTTAAACCCTTTATTATAGTTTTTAAGACACAAAAGGAATATGTTTTTTTCTTTTGGGGTATATTTTGTTAAGAGCGAAAATCAAAATGTTTACATTCATCAAGTTCTTTCAATGTTTAATTGGGAAAATCTTTATAAAAAAGAAAAATGAGGAATTCAGTAATTTTTCCAAATACTGAAGTTGCCTCATCTCATTGTTATGAACCCATTGTTGTGAAGCATTTCTAGCTGAAAGTATTAGAATGTATTGGATGTTTTGCAATCTCTAATATATGGAATATCTAATTGTAATCATCAAATTACATTTTCACTTACTCATTTTTATTTATTTTTTACAATTGCAAGAGTCTAGTTATGAAGATACTCAAGTTCGCATTGAAACATGGCACATTGATTTACACAGATTAATCGGGTGCAATAAAACCCAGTACCCGAGTTTCACTTAATTTTTCTTTTTTGTTACCCACGTACAATTTTTTTTTCTAACAGCGTTTTGTGCTGAAAACCAAAAGTGAAATTGGCCAAATAAGCATGGAGTCTGTAGGAATCCATGCATATTTGACTGAGCTATTCCATGAACAGCAAGAACAAATATATTGTAAAGCAGCGTTTTAAAAGAAGTAATTGTGAAGAGGCAGGTTGCAAATGAAGGAGCAAACAGATGAGCTACATAGATTACACACCGACTGAATGAGGACAAAGACGACAAACTATTCATAGGAGTAACTCATCATCCTTCAAAATACAATAAAGGGAATTAAAATCTATGTAAATATGTGTGATGACTCAGCTGATTATAAATTTCTTTTATACAGAAAACCTCAAATTAAAAACTGGTTATGATTTAAATCATCTGCTTTGGGAAAAAAGTATTTTCTTTTACCTGACATGCAAACTCTGTGTATGATGCACAAGTTAAATAGTTCATATTGTTTATAAGAAATGAGCATTTGAACAGCGATGTTAAAATGCAGATTAATTCTACTCAACATGTTACCTGTGCCCACATGGTGATGTTTGAAATTTGCCCTTTTCAAAGATTGATGGGAAATACATTTTATGTAAAATTAATCTACAACGTGTCTATAGGCTAAGACCCTTGATTTCATTGCTAACATGATTTGCATTGTGCATGCCATGGCTTTATCTCAAGTCATCAATTAACATCATACTATTAGAATTTCTGCAGGAGGTGGAGGTATTTTGTGCTCAAGTCACAAGGAGAGCTGATGGTGCAACATGAATAGATGGATGAGAAAGGAGTACATCAATGAAACATTTAGATATGATTGCTTCTCCAAGCTTACATAAAATCTATCAAGAAAAGCATGTTGGTTGATGTTTGTTTCATGTCTTTCTAATTAAATTGCTAGTTTTCTTTGATCACCAGAAGTGGAGATAAAAACAAAAAAGACAATTGTATAACTTCTGCTTTGCATTCTACCCTCCTATGTTTTTGAAATTTTGGCTATTAACTTAAAATTTAGTCAAGA